GCACACAAATTAAGTTGTCAGGACATGACTGATTTGACTTTTGCAGTCACTATAGTAAAATTATGGCAGCAAAAATAAAAAAACCATTGAGATAATTATTTAAAATTGACATTAGAAACAAAAACAAACAAAAAATCTAAATGAAAATAGAACTTTTGAATCTACAGGATTTTAATGTGGTTTGAAGGATAATCCATTCACAAAAAGTATTTATGAAATGAAAAACATATTCTCTTTAAAGAAATTGAGCAGGGCTAAGTGTTAAGGTACGTTCACGCTGTGGATTAGTTTCTTAGATTCTCAACCTGGTAGACTGTTGCAAAACAAGTAGTGTAATTTTGGTGCAACTAGTAATAACAAAAACAAGGCCAACAGGTTTCATCATCACGAGTTTGTTGAGTGTTCCAGTATAATGTCTGCTGGCAATATACAAAATCAATTCCATAACATTTTTTCTATGCTCAAGCCTTGTTATCAGCTGAAAGGTTAGTAGCATAGCAACCAATGAAAATAGAATGACCACAAAAAAAAACTAACACAATGAAATTTATTACCAGCCCACTTGTTGACAAATTTTAATTTTTGTATTTGATAGTAGCCATATGTTTTAGAACTGACAAAAGACATCCGCGACGTGCCGCTCAGGGTTGGGGAGGGGTGTTTTGGGGAGGGCATAAAGAGCGCAAGCTCGGCGGCCCGCTGACGCCATTTCTTAATGTAATAATATTTCAGTTCAAAGATTAACATTTTTAAAATAAAGTTCAAGTTTAATTTTATTGGCGTGGGCAAGACATGAAAAGGCGTTAGGGGATCATCATCATCATCATCAATGGCACTACAGCCCATGTAGGGCCCTGGCCTGCTCCACCACATCCTTCCATTCGGAGCGATCCATGGCTTTCCGTCTCCATGCTCGAACCCCCAACTGGTGCAAATTGGTCTCCACATCATCAATCCACCTCATCTACCGATAAGTCATCTGCCCCTAGGCTTCTGCCTGTATATAATTTTGGCTGCTCTGCATTCCGGCATCCTTTCAACAAGACCTGCCCAGCGTATTCTGCCTTTTTTTATCATTGTGACTATGGGTGGTTCTTTGTACAAATAGTAGAGTTCTTGATTTGTACGTATTCTCCAGATATCATTTTCTATTACTAGTCCGTATATTTTGCGGAGGATTTTCCTCTCCCATGTGTTGAGCACGTTCTCTGCTTTTCTGGTGAGGGTTCAGGTCTTACTAGCGTACATTACTACAGGTCTTATGATGGTGGTGTATATTGTCTTCTTTGTTCCCCTTGATAGGTTTTTGTTTCCCAGTAGCTTTTGTAGACTGAAATAGGAACGGTAGCCTGCTGTTATCCTTTCTTTCACCTCTGACATTATCTCATTGTGCTCGTTTATAGTTGTCCCTAGGTATTTGAATGTAGCCACTCTCTTAAATTTGTGGTTGTTTATATTGATGTTATTATCAGCATGAGAGTTTCTTGACATTATCATATATTTTGTCTTCGGTTCATTTATATCAAGGCCAGCTTTGAATGAGACATTTTCAAGTTCCCTGAATGCTTTAATTATGTCATTACGGTTTCTACCCAGTAGCTCTATATCATCTGCATATGCCAGGTACTGCAATGGTTGGCTATATAAGGTTCCTAATGGTCGTTGCTCTGTAGTATCTCTCTGGAAATAGTTTGTTATGGTTCCACTGGTGCTAATGTGAATGCTTCTAATAACTTTTTCTAGCGCAATGTTAAACAGGATACATGATAGTGAGTCTCTTGTCTGAGGCCCCGATTAACTATGAACTCCCTAGAATATTCTCCCTGAATCTTGATTCTGCTTTTGGAGTTGGCCATTGTCATGTGTATGAGCCGAGTAAGCTTGTTAGGGACTCCAAGTTCTTGTAAAGCATTGTATAAGTAATTCCTGTTTACGCTATCGTATGCTGTTTTGTAATCCACATATAGTTGGTGTATGTTGATGTTATATTCGTAGCATTTCTCCAGGAGACATCTTATAGTAAAAATATGATCCGTGGTTGACCTATTCTGCCAGAATCCACATTGGTAGTCCCCTAGGATCTGTTCACTTTTCCAATTTTCTCGCTATAAGTTTTGTGAGGATTTTGTACATTTCATTAAGAAGGGAGATACCTCTATAGTTTGAGCATATCAACTTAGATCCCTTTTGTGGATTGGGATTATGAGTGCCGTGTCCCATTCAGTTGGCATTTCTTCCTCCTGCCAGATTCTGGTTATAAGTTCGTGTATTTGCCCATGCAGTTCGCTACCACCTAGCATTATGAGTTTTGCAGGGATAAGGTCTATTCCTGGGGCTTTGCTATTTTTCATGGTGGAGATTACATCTTTTATTTCATTTAAAGTTGGTTGGTTGACCAGTGGGTCCGGTCCTCCTCGTGGCGGGGCGTAATCCTCATTGGTTCCTCCACCTGAGCCATTCAGTAAGCCTTCAAAGTGCTGTGCCCATCTTTCTAGTACTCTACTGCTCTCTGTGATCAATTCTCCATCCGTGCTTTCACACATGTGGGATCTTGCTTGAAAGCCATTCTTTTCCTGCTTTATCTTCAGGTACATTCCCCTCACATCTCTTTCTTTTGCCAACTCTTCTATCTCTACTATTTTTGATTTTTCCCAAACACGTTTTTTCTTTCTGCAAATTTTGCTGGCCACCCTTCTTGCTTCATTATATAATTGTCATGTTCTTCTTGTTTCCCTTTGCAGCATCATTAGCCGAGCTTTGTTTCTTTGTTCTATAAGTTCTTTGCATTCTGCGTCATACCATCCTGTTCTTTTCACTGCTGGTTTAAATCCAATCGTTTCCTCTGTTACACTTGTGACTATTTGCTTCATCTTTTCCCATTGCTGGTTTATATCAACGTTGCTGGCTGATTCTCTTTTGGATAATTCTAGTAGAGTTTCAATCTTCTGTTGATATTCCTCAGTAATTTTTGGGTCCCTACTCAGTTTCTGACTATTGTACTGTTTTTCTCTTTTATTTTGTTTATTGTGGATGTTACAAATTCTTTGCTTATATTTGATTCTAACAAGCATGTGGTCTGAGTCTATGTCCGCCCCTCTACAACTTTTCACATCTGATATGTCCGAGCCATGCCTCCGGTCGATGAGTACGTGGTCTATTTGATTACGGGTAAATCCATCTGGAGATATCCATATCGCTTTATGTATTTGTTTATGTTGGAATACTGTGCTACTGATTATCATTCCTTTTCCAGAGGCAAAGTCTATAAGACGTGTTCCGTTGTCATTGCTCTCATCATGCATACTTTCCTTTCCGATTGTTGGTCTGTAGACTAGTTCTTTCCCAATTTTTGCATTGAAATCGCCAAGGACTATTTTGATATCAGGTCGTGGAGCCTCATCCAGTGTTTCGTAGAAAGTTTCCTTCATGCTTTCATCTGCATCTTCCGTTGGAGCATGAGCGCAGATTAACGTGATGTTAAACACTTTTCCTCTAATCCTTATGGAGCATAATCTTTCACTCACTGGTTTAAACCCAATGGATGCATTTACTGTCTCTCTTTTGACTGCAAACCTTGTTCCTAATGTATTTGTGTTGTTTCCGCTGTAGAATATTGTATATTCCTTTGTATTTAGGATATCTGAATCTTTCCATCTAATCTCCTGCAGTGCCGCAATCACTATTCTATATCTAAGTAATTCCTCACTGAGGCGGGCCAAGGCACCTGCTCTGTATAAACTGAGTACATTCCAAGTCGCAATCCAAATGTTATGTGTGTGGTCAGGCATGGGTCGAAATCCATAAATATCAGTCCGTTTTTCTGATTGTGGTTTTACTTTCGTAGCATTAGCTTTTTTACGTGACAGGGTCGTCAGCCCTGCGCACAACCGTCTGGGGAGATGCCCCTTGCAGCTCTCAGGGTAGCTGCCTTTGTATTGGGTCGGGTCCCTAGCCTTTGTGGATCCCTCCACTTCCTACAAGGCAGTAGGTACTGATTTTGGTCCGTCCTGGGTATTTTATTTCCCCGGTACCCTCCATATCTGGTGGGCTTTCCCCTATCCGCCACCTGGGGAGGCGCTCGATGGAAGATCAGTATCTCCTCACGAGATTTGTTTGTATGCCTCTTTCTATTTTTGTTAGACAAGTATGTGACTTTTGCACTTTAAATCTATCTACAATATTGCTGGACAAGTATGTGTCTTTTGAGTATAAATATGTACAATATTTTACAGGAATTCTACCTAAACTTAAGACGTCGACACCAGAGCCAAGACAGCACACCTATCACTACGCGGCAGTTGGAGTCATTAATGAGGTGATTAAATCCATGCAAGCCATTTGTAATCAGTTCTAAGAATTTGTCTTAATCAAGCTAATGGACATTTTACTTTGTTTATTTAAAATTGAATGTTTTAAATAAACCTTTTATCTTTTTTTATCCAGCCATTAATTTCATGACTGTTCTCTTAAGCACATATGGTGAATTTCTTTTTTTTTCCCCCGCCACCAGATTAACTGAAGCTAGAGCTCGACTTGAATTGAGGGAGGAAGTGACCAAATCTGATGCTGAGGATGTCATAGAAATCATGAAATACAGGTGATTTGTGTGTTACATTTTGATCAATCTTTTATGATTTGTGCTGCTACAAATTACAAATGTGGTTAATGGATTGCCAGTTAAAGTTTTGAAAAAAAACTAAAATTAAGAAAGGGAAAAGGTTTACAAAATTTTCTCTTATTTGTGCCACTTTTTTTTGACTCCACCTTTTTGTGATCAAATCCAATCCAGTGATGCAGACTTTTATCCCCAAAAATTATTGTGATGCATTTTAGTTAACAGAAATGCAAAATTGTAACTAATTTTTTTGCTTGTCTTGAATATTTAACACTTGAGTAAAAAAAAATGTGTTTATATATACAGATCAAAAGTCTATTACTATGAATAAAAATTTAATTTTTGTTTATATTATCCATAACTATTGTCATGATACTATTTTATCAATGTCATCTCCAACAGTATGCAGGATGTCTACTCTGATCATTTTGGCTTGATCGACTTCCACAGGTCACAGCATGGCTCAGGCATGAGTGGTCGCTCGCTGGTAATCCTTTTTTGTTTTAGAAACAATTTATCTTTTCTCTAGTTGACCACGGTCTGGGGTGGAGTTTTTTTTTGTCCTTATCATCAATGATGTGATGTGCCCTTCGGTCTTTCTTTGCACATTAGTCATGTCCAGTACGGTACTGGTGTTCAATATAATAGAATTCATTACATCTGGGGCCCATCAATACGTAATTTCACACTATTTTTTTTAACAACTCCCATCATCACAAACCTTTGACACCCTCTTCACACAACGGTCACAAATTTTTTTTATACCCCCCTCCCCCCCAAGCAGACATTATTTTAAACCTATTTTACTTAGACTCACTAGAAGTATTAACTTTCAGCCACACGTCTTTCAAGTTTAAAAAAAAATAGCTGTGAGTTTTGTCCGTAAAGGAAAACTTATGACAATTTACGGAAAGTAATTCAATGTTTCCTCTTCATTTAATGAAATTTTAACTCATGGACTCCCATTTCCATGTTAACTCATGGACTTCCATTTCCATTCTAATATTTTCTCCTTCAGCCAAAGAAATTTGTGGCTGCCCTCCAGAAAGTTGCTGAGCAGACGTACAACAATTTATTTACAGTTCAGCAGATGAGGCAGATTTCGAAGGTTTGATTCATCAATAAACATAACTCGTTTTGGAAAAGAAGTTTTAAAAAATTACCCTAATTGAATCTTTTGGCAAGCATTTATTTATATGTCATCACCTATAAATTCTTTGACTAAATAAACATGGTGGCCAGTGGTTCTCAACCTTTTGCACACCACCCTAGTTAGTGATTTCCTGTGGCACACTAAGTTGGCAACAAGGCCATAAGTATGAACAAGTAACCAGCTCAGGATTCTAAATAATAACTCAATCTTTAGTTGTGAGGCCATTATCCAATAAATCTAGCTCTTTTTTTTCAAATAAATGGAATTAAATAATTGAAATTACTTTTTACTAACAATATCAGAAGTTTTGCATTCACACCTAGGCTAATCTCACAGCACTCTTACTGTGTTGCGACACACCTGTTGAGAACCACTGGTGTACACATGATAAAATAAGAAGAGGGGAGGTAATGTGTTAATTCAGGTTGTTATTGTTGTTGCAGGACATTGGAGTGAGCATCCCTGACTTTGAGGGCTTCATCACATCACTAAACACCCAAGGCTTCCTGTTAAAGAAAGGACCAAAAGTGTACCAGCTTCAAACATTTGGATACTGAATGTGTTGTAATGTTTGTGTGTGTGTGTATGTTACTGAATGTGTTGTAATGTTTGTGTGTATGTATGTATGTTACTGAATGTGTTGTAATGTTTGTATGTGTGTATGTTACTGAATGTGTTGTAATGTTTGTGTGTATGTATGTTACTGAATGTATTGCTATGTTTGTGTGTATGTATGTTACTGAATGTTTTGTAATGTTTGTGTGTGTGTATGTGTATTTGACTGAATGTGTTGTAATGTTTGTGTATGTGTATTTGACTGAATGTGTTGTAATGTTCATGTGTGTATATGTATGTTACTGAATGTGTTGTAATGTTTGTATGTGTATATATGTTTGATTTTCTTGTAGTTTTTAAGGATTTCTCTGCCAGCCCAGTGTCACACTCAGCTACATGGCAGAATGTGACACTGGGCAAGTTGATACTGAATGTGTTGTAATGTTTGTGTGTGTACATATATGTTACTAACTGTGTTGTAATGTGTGTGTGTGTGTGTACATGTGTAGTTTTGTTGCAATTTATCATGGATTCTGCCAGGCCAGTGTATTGGTTCAGGGACACTGAGCTAGTTGATGTATATAAAAAGTACTCTGGCTTATATAAATCACCTTCTAGTGCCCAATGTATACGGAATCCACAGTTTCGGAATCCACTTTCGTTTTCTTTTCCTTCAAAATGTGATAATTATTAAAATATTTATCAAATTATTGTTCGTGTTTTTTTTCTGAAGTATATTTTGCTGTCCTAATGTTAAATTCAGGGAGGTAACTAAGTGTGACATCTGATAAAACTTGCAAATGGATGATTACCTTTCCCTGACACACGCTCTCAACCCAACCACAAGCTTGATTTGATTAGTCTCTATATATTAATCTACTTTATTGGTCGGACATTTTCTTCTGGTTAATAGGGCCATTAAAGTGTTTCAAGAGCTCTCTGGGACCAGTGCTTCTCAATACAGAAATGGAATATGAGAGTGAACAATCTTAGTTTCTAGAGCTCTCTGGGACCAGTGCTTCTCAATACAGAAATGGAATATGAGAGTGAACAACCTTAGTTTCTAGAGCTCTCTGGGACCAGTGCTTCTCAATACAGAAATGGACTATGAGAGTGAACAACCTTAGTTTCTAGAGCTCTCTGGGACCAGTGCTTCTCAATACAGAAATGGAATATGAGAGTGAACAACCTTAGTTTCTAGAGCTCTCTGGGACCAGTGCTTCTCAATACAGAAATGGAATATGAGAGTGAACAACCTTAGTTTCTAGAGCTCTCTGGGACCAGTGCTTCTCAATACAGAAATGGAATATGAGAGTGAACAACCTTAGTTTCTAGAGCTCTCTGGGACCAGTGCTTCTCAATACAGAAATGGAATATGAGAGTGAACAACCTTAGTTTCTAGAGCTCTCTGGGACCAGTGCTTCTCAATACAGAAATGGAATATGAGAGTGAACAACCTTAGTTTCTAGAGCTCTCTGGGACCAGTGCTTCTCAATACAGAAATGGAATATGAGAGTGAACAACCTTAGTTTCTAGAGCTCTCTGGGACCAGTGCTTCTCAATACAGAAATGGAATATGAGAGTGAACAACCTTAGTTTCTAGAGCTCTCTGGGACCAGTGCTTCTCAATACAGAAATGGAATATGAGAGTGAACAACCTTAGTTTCTAGAGCTCTCTGGGACCAGTGCTTCTCAATACAGAAATGGAATATGAGAGTGAACAACCTTAGTTTCTAGAGCTCTCTGGGACCAGTGCTTCTCAATACAGAAATGGAATATGAGAGTGAACAACCTTAGTTTCTAGAGCTCTCTGGGACCAGTGCTTCTCA